AGAAAGATGCTTCTGTGTGTCGTCTCATTTCATGTACCAATCTGCAGAACAAAGAAAGAAGCATCTCTGTATTTAACCTAGAACCATTCATAATGTTCTCTTCTGAATTATTCTGGGGGTGGATCCTGATTCTTTCCTTACATTTTCTCAGTTTTACAGGAGATTCAAAGTTAGCTTCTAGCATGCGCTACGTGGAGACCCAGTCTATGCAGATCGGAGCCTCGTATATGATACAGTTCAACTTGGTGATGGGCTGCGGTCAGGCGTTTACTCCTCATATGGACAACCAGGTGAAACTGGACTACTCCACCAACCACGGCCTCACGTGGCATCTTGTTCAGGAGGTGAGGCCAGCAGTGAGGACTTTGGTTTTCCATGAAGTCTCTTATGCAAAGATCATCTGAGATATACTTGTGGCATTGAGCAAAGGAGGATGTTTTTCTCGTTCCCCTTTCTGTACAGAAATTCTCAGTTGGAATCAGTCAAAATGATTAACAGAAGTATTAAAACTGTTCTTTGAGATATTTGGAAGAAAGGTATCTGAGAGCCTGAAATAAAAAATTGTGGCAGGAATGGACCAAGGCTGAGAAAAGAATTGCGGCACAGTTAGACAGAGCTACAGAGTGAGATCTTTCCTGTGCTATTGCTTTGTTTTTCAAAGCAAAATGCATCTACTGTTTCCTGGAATTTAAATGGATAGAAATTCTTTCTGCCCTTGTGCCCAGCCATTTCATAAATGGAAAGTGCATTCCTTCAGGGGATTGTAATGGAGAGCCTTTCATCTCCCACCCCTGGTTCAAACACAGTCCAGGGCCATAATGACCGGCTGTTTCCCTGTCTCTGCTACAAGTGCAAATAGCAGTGTCAGCTGCGATTTCCCCATGTGGCTCTGCCCTGTGTCAGCGCAAACGCAATAGCGCATTTGGCCATAATTTGTGCTTTTGTTTTCCCTCTTAGATGGCAAGCTGGACTTTCCGTGGCCTCAGAGTGAACTAACCAAGGTCCTTTGGGTGCCTCCGAGCAGATTCAGAGGGTGTCAGGGAACTTGTCCCGGTGCCTTTTCACTGCATTGCCCTGTAGCCTTTTGCCATGTTGTGTTTCACCACGTTTACTTCTGTGGGCAGAGTAGAAAAATGGAAATAACTGAATTTTTAAACTTTGCAAATCCAAATAATGCTTTCTTACCTTAAACAGAATTCAGATGAAAGCTATAAATACTGTATTTCAAACAATATTCATGTCTTCTATACCTAGCAGGCATCATCATGCTGTCCAAGAATAGTTCCTAGTGGTGGGTGTTTGGGGTTTGCCCTTGCCATCAATGGAAAGTCAGTTGCCTTCAGATTTAAGCGACCCTTTCCTCTCTCAGTGGAGCTGAGTTCAGAGAGAAGAACTTGCAGCCAAATCATTTTTCTCACATCGCTCGTGTTGCTGTGATGAAAGAGTAATAGAGAAGTCTATTTGTAGTATATTTCAAGGATGTAACCTGGCAGATACACAAAATACTAATTAATTAAAATGTTTGAAAGTTTTTTTACTTCACACACGCTGATCAGACCCTGTTTTATGAAACCTTTTAAGGAAGATGAATCAATGAAAAATGTTTGAAAATTGCTGGAAAGGAAACTAAGCCTTTAGAAAAGCTACTGAAAAAAACCCAAAACTGAATAAGCTATCACATCTTCATTTAATATCCTAAGACATCTGAGCAATAAACTTCTCTGTAAAATATTCTGCTCTTCATATTTAATATATAACTATTACCATATATTTTAACTATATAAGTAGTCTTAATTGCTTTAACTACTGTAGAGAATCAATACCTTATTATTAGTTTGATAGCAAAGTACGCTACTTGCATAGGCAAGTGTCTGTCCCAAAGGTTCCCCTTGTGCCTGACACCCCAGAAGGGGATGAGCACATCAGCAAGCAGCGACAGGATCTTGGAGATATGGGGATGGTCAGGAGGAGCTGTGCTGTGGGAGTAGTGGCAGAATGGACTCTCTGAATGGGTAGCTATAAAAGGAACACACAGGCTGGTAATAACATTCGAACGTTTTATTAATACTTCATCAAAACCATAGCACAAAAGTTTTGGGTGCAGTTCTGGCAATATATAAATAAATAAATGGGTATTGCATAAAAATGGAGTAACACGGGAAGGGCAGGTATAGAAAACTGTAAGAGGCTGGGATAAGGGATTGCCTTTATGTTTAGTATAAATAAGATGTAATAATGATCCGAATTTCTGAAAAAGGAAAAAGAAAATTTGGGGAACAGACCTCTCTAGGAATCTGAGTTAGGTATAGGAAGAATCATAGAAGCAGGAACGGGAAACTTACACCACCACTTGCTGTAACTGTCAAAGATAATACATCTGCAGAGCACGGAGAGGGCCTCTGGAGGCAACTTCAGTAGACTGCGCTTGGGTGCTCTTGAGTGGCTCTGGCAGTTCCTACTGCTGCTCCCCACTGCAAACGGAGGGAGTGGAGGGAGCCAGCATCCCCAGGCAAGGGCTCCCAAAGTAGGTCTCTGAAATGATTGGTGTAACGGTGTGGAGGTCACTTTTGTAGACTTATTCCATAGTAAACTTTATAGTCAGCGCTAGGTGCTGGGGTGACAACAGTAAAAACAATGAGCTAGACATCCTCATGGAGCAAAATAAAAAATTACTAGTCACTAATGCTAAATATACCTCTTTAAATGACTCATATGGCTTTCTCCTATCCTAAATTGTAATATTGTTAGTTTTCTGATAAATTTTTTGGATCATGCCAGGATTTTTCTGCGTCTGGGTCTTTTGCTGCAACATCTGGACCCAGGCAAGATCTTGGCTCCATGAATGTTTAACCCTTGCTTCTGTTCCCAATTATGCCTCAACATTAAATCTGGTTTTTAAATATTTTACTTCAAGGAATGTCTTCCAAGTATGCCAAGCTGTCAGGAGTTTACATCTGCAAGTATTTATCACTCCAGCGAATTTACTCAATGGAGAAGAATCACTGTCCTTTTACCACAGAAGACTTGGTGAGCATTTCTTTCTTCTTTTTTTTTTCTGTTGAATGCACATAGTTTATCTACTTTTATATTGCTATGACAAAGATCAAGTCCTCTGTAGATCATACTCAAGCCAGTGGGTGGGGTGCAGGGTACCGAGGCTGACCAGTTGCAGTAATTTAATATAAAATGCCTTCCTGACATCAATTAGAGAGTAAAATGTTGGTGAAGTCTATTGTTTAGGATTGTTTTTAATACATACTGTGACTCTTCTAATAAAGTTCAGACCTTTTCAAAAATAGTGGTTCTTGTCTGTAAATGGTACACTGGAGGAAGGCTTTATTTGGATTGTTAATTTTTATTTTGCACATTCCTTATTGTTTACATCTTCAGACCAAAGCCCTGTATAAACAATAACTAATGATTCATTTCTGGGAATTTTCTACCTCTTGTTTCTTTTTATAGCATGTCTTCAAAAATAACATTCTCTTCTGCAAAAAACAGCAACAAAAAATATCAAAAGCCCTACCCTATTCCTCTTACTGTAATCAAACTTGTTTTGCCTGTCCTAACATTTTTGTTTATTTAACTGGATGATTTCCTCCATTATTTATTTTAAAAGCTTCATTACAACATAAAAATACAAAGTTGGCATAAATCTCAATAGTTAAGTTATTCCAATTACGAGTTACACCTTGCTTATATTTGACCTGAATGCATCACAGCAATTGCAATGAGAGTTTGCTCAGACTAAGTTATCATTGCAGTTCCCTGTCCTTCATCATTCTTCTGCACTCTCCACGGCCTCAACACAACCTATTTCTATCAACCACCCCATGATGATCATCTTCTTTCAACATACTGGCCGTTTTTACTGTACAGACTATATCCAGAATTTTGTACCTCCAGGCAAAACATCGGGGACTAGTATTGATTCCTTAAATTGTATCAGGTCAAATAACACCAAATGGCACAAGTACGTCTATAAATGACTGTTTTGTATTTAGATTATAATGTACTAACTCTTACATGCCGTTATTTGCCAACAGCTGTAAAATCTGTGGCTCACATAGGCAATTAGAAATTTTAAAAGTGTCTACAATTTTGCAGGATATGCTCCAAAGTAGGCTGTTATTTTTAAATTTATTTATAAGATATATGCTCCACTCAAAGTTATTATTATACACTGTATAGTTGATGTTAATACTGGTGTTGTGGGCCTTTTTTTCTTTAGGATCTAATAATTTTCCTCAGCATATGAGGTGACAGAAGCAAATAATTCCGTTTTAATTTAGGAGACTATGGGGAGAAATTGTGATGAAATAATAGCCAGCTTCCTGCTTTATGCTGCACACAAATCATTAATATTTTACACTCTATCTTGTATCTGAAGGGATTTTCCCGTCTGGTAGCAGAGTTTTGTTTGTAATTAAGGCACAAATTACCACCGAACATTACTTTGCTCTTCAGAAACCACATTTTCGGTACGAGTGTGTTGTGCTATGGTGTAACTGGGGTGAAGAGGAAGGATGGCTGCATCTTCCCCACCAAAATCAATGCAACACACCAGATGCGTCTCAGCCGCTTTCCCTCTTGCCCCTCTTTCCACTGGCAGAGGGCTCAGTTGCTCCTTTGGGCTGAGATTGGGAAGGGAATTTTTTTTTGCATTTTTAAAGCACACTTGCTAACAGAGGGCAAGTTTCTGCCTTTAAAATCTTGAGGGTTGCTGGAGAATATGTAATGTGCAGAGCTTCTCCACCACCCCGGCCACACACATCGCCCCAGGGGTGTGGTAGCAAATGTGCTCTTCTTCGGGGTGCCTTCCCCCCATCTCCTCTCCCTTCCCCACCCACGCTCCGCTGCAAGGAGCTCCCATCGGCACAAATCAGCAATGGCCAGGAAGAACAGTGCAGAGGGTGAGGCAGGTCTTCTGCCTTCCCGAAACTGGGGCAAGGGGAAGGGGGCTCTGGGACCCTCCCTTCTGGCTCAGCCCCGCAAGACAAGGGCTGCCAAATATGCAGCCTGCCCTGCGCTGGCTGCCGGGGGAACCACCGCACCTAAGGGAGGACGCAGCTGCTCGCGTTGGGGTTTGCCCAGGCGAGCCCGGCCAGCGCCCCGCACGCCCTGAGCCACGTGCCCGAGCTGCACCGCTGCAGGGTGCACCCACGGGGCCTGCGAGGCCCGGGGCTGGGGCCTGAGGGCTCCCTAGCCTCGCTCTGGCCCTCGCTAGCCTTGACACGCCCTCAGACTCCTGCGCGGCCCCGCGGCATTGCCAGAGCTTCTACCCCCGCGTGCACAGCTCTGTGAGGCTTTGCATCTTTTTGGGTGCACGGGTAGCCTCGGGCTGCGGTACTGTGCTCATGCAGCCAGAAAATCGTTCATAACAGCACCTATTTCTCTTGTAAAACTTTCTGGGCATGCTGGTATTTCTGCACATCTGTAGATGTTCTGCATCTGGCAAGCATGAGTTTACAAAGGTCCCTGTGCTATCCGAGATTTGGGGCGTTAGGAAATCTGCTGCAGCAGTGAGACTTGTATGGGAGAAACGAAATGTATGCACCTGCTGGCTGGACTGGTATTGTACTTGAACTGAACATCTCTAACGCTGATGAAAATTAATTTCAGTTTTATGGGAGGCATTTACATATGAACAGGCCTTAATGAGATACAAGCAGCTGTCAGTTGCTGACTTCATAAACAAATCAACACCTAATGACTGAATGAGAGTTTCAGGATAATTGGGTAAATGTAATTATGGTAACTCAGAAGGTAGAAAATATAATTTTATCAGCTACAAATTTGCATTAGATCGTTAGGTTTTTTAGTATCAGGAGAGAAGACAATGATTTTATTTTAAGTCACATATCTGGAAAATTTTATAACAGAAAGAACATAATTTCACTCGCAGTACATCTGGGACATGATTTCCTTGTGCTTATGTAAAATGTCACGCAAAAACAGTGACTTTTATTTGACATCAATCTGACTTCTTAGATATA